GAAGGTGCGAGGAGTGGTGGTCAGGCCCCTGCAAGGCGGCCCCCCGGCCTGCTGCCCTTTTGTGGCCGCCGTCCCGCGGCAGGACCTGCGTCCTCAGACTTCAGGCGCGGCGGGCGGCCCCTCTCTCTGCTGTCGCTTCTCTGCTTGAGGGTCCTGGTTTTGGCTGGGGGGAGCAGCGGGGTGCGGGGAGGGCCCCCGAGGGAGACTGGCGGCGGCTGGGGGTTGCCGGTGTTTTGCTGGGGTGTGAGCGCCGCTCCTCCGAGGTCTTCGCTTGCTTCCAGGCGTTTGTGGCCGTTTTCCTCCCGCCGGAAGGAGCCGCTGTGCGCTGGTCAGGCCGCGGCCCGCCGGCTCCGCAGCCAAGCGGACAGCCCGCGCCCCAGCCGGCCGCGCTCCTGGGTGGCCAGCTCGCCTGACGGAGCCCGGAGCGGCGGGAAGGACGGCTGGTGCTGCAGCTGGCATCGGGGCTCCCGGGCCCGCCGCCCTCCCCCTCCGCTGGCCCGTGCCTCACCGTCCGGGCGGCTCTGCCTTGTCAGGCCGTGTCCCTGGACTGGGACGTGGCGGCCCTCGCCGCGGGTCTTCCCGGGCGCTGTGCCCGCTTCCTCCTGCGTGTCTCCGCAGCAAAACCCTCTCCTCGTTGTCCCTGGCCTCGCAGTGCTGTCACCACCTCTGTCCCCCGGAGCGTTTTCACTGCGCCCCACGATGCCGGCGCCTGCCCCTGCCCAGGGCGGGCCTGGGCCTGCTTTGGCCACCCCGCCGGCCCCAACGCTGCCCCTGAGCGTGTCCTGCTGAGGGCCGCTGCCGTCTGGCCGGTTGCTGGCAGGTTGCAGTGGCGCCTTGCTGGGCTCCCCCCCCCGCCCCTGCTGGGCTCCGGTCCCCCCCGCCCCCTGTTGGGCTCGCCCCTCTCCCTGCTGGGCCAGCCCCCCCCCGCGCCCCCTGCGCTCGCGCAGTTCCTTTGTTGGCTGAGCGAGCCGGCTCTGTGCTCCTGTGCGACGAGGATCCGCCCAGCGTCCGGCCCCTGCCAGTAGAGCGGTGGCCCGAGCTGCTCGTTCAAGCGCCTGTCCTCCGTGCGGGGTGTGCCCAGGAGAGGCGTCGCCGCCTCATCCTGGGAGCAGGCCTGCCCATCTCGCCACTCCTTCCCAGCTCCGCAGGTCGGGAGACGCTCGGTAGCCACTCGGCGTGCTGGGGCCGCCTGCCCGGGGAGGTCTCGGCCTGGGCCTGCACCCGCTCCGTGACACAGGACCGCCACGGGGTCCTGCCCGCCAGCTCCCACGTGCCCCACTGGGCGCTCCAAGCCCTGGCGGAGACCCTCCCGCGGCCTCAGAGCGTCGCTTCTCTGTGGGCTGAGCCGGTGAGAGACTTTTCTGGCCTCAGCCTGAGTGGCTGCGGGGCCCGGCAGATGCCTCCAGGCCTCCCTTCCCAGGGCCTGGGCTCTTCAGGCCGTTTGCTCAGCAGACTGAGGCCCTGGTCTCGCCCCTCCGGCTTGACTTGGGCCCATCAGTGGCTCCTGCTTGCACATCCCCGGGGTTTCCCTGCCCCGTACCCCCATGGCGGGAAGCCAGCCATGTGGCTGCATGTGCCGCCTCACACCCCCAGGCCTGCCCTGGGGGCGGGCAGTGTTCCCTGTCGGGCCTGTGTGCAGACGCGTGTGGGTGTGCTTCATCCCGCTTCCCTGGATCTCAGATGAAAACAGGCGTTATTTTTAGGGAAAGAACCAGATTTCTGAATTCTTAATAGGTTGTCCCGTGGACGTAAGAGGAAAACCAGTGTTCTCTTGTTGAGTGCGCCCTTCGGAAGGGCTAGGAGGGAGGCTTGGGACGGGTCCGGAGGCCAGGGGCGAGTTCACGTGTATGCGCGCGGGCGTGTGCCCTGCGTCGTGGCTGCACCCGAAGCCGTTGGATGGGGGGTGAGCGGTGCTGGCAGGTCCAGCTTGGGCTGCACTCGGGTCCCCGCCATGCCTGCAGAGAGAGAAGGTGCGAGGAGTGGTGGTCAGGCCCCTGCAAGCCCCTGTTAAAGCAGCGAGTCTGCAGTTAGAGCGCCAGTTGTGAGGGGCGAGGGGGTGCACATCGCAAAGAGCCGGCGCCCTAGGGCTGGAGGCTGGAGGGAGACGTTTTGCAGAGCAGGAGAGACCGAGGCGCAAGTGGGCATGGAGGAGCCGCTCGTGCTGAGGGCACGAGGCTTTGCGCGTCGCACGCACGCCTCGCGGCCGCACGACGGCGCCCTCCTGTGTCTCCTGGTGTGTGCGTCAGCGCCTGGCGGCGAGCTGTCCACCGCGGCGCAGGCCGGGCCGGGCGCCGCCTCGCCCGTGGGCCTCCGGAGCGACGGGTTTGCTTGGGTTCTTGTCTGAGGCGACATCTTGTTAAAGCAAGTGTGTGTATAGGGGCCAGCACATCCACTCTGCTCCTTGCTGTTCTGATAGCTGCGTGGGTCATGTGCCGTACGTTTACCTTTCAGCACCCTGCAGGGCCACCGCGGCGTTGTGTGACCGTCGCCGGAGTCTAGCCTTCATCATCAGAAGAAGCTCGTAGCACGAGCGTCCCCATCCTTCCAGCAGCCGCGAATCCGCTGGGCCCCTTGGCTTCCCTGTGCTGGACTCCCTGTGTGAATGGAGCCAGACGGCACGTGGGCTCTCTGGCTGCCCGTGAGAGGGCAGCAGGCCCCCGACGGGCGGTGGGTGGGCAGGTAGACAGCCAGGTGCCTGGCGACAGAGCAGGAGATCCTCTGAGGCCCCGGGGCAAGGCACAGGTGAGTGACAGGCAGAGGCCAGGAAGTGGGCGTGGGGAGTGATGGGTGTCTGCGTTGGGGGGGCCAGCAGGGGTCAGGCTGCCCAGTCGATGACGTAGGCAGTCAGGGAGCTGCCCAGTAGGTGGGCTGATAGGTGTGGGAAGGTGCTGGACAGCTAGGCGGCTGGCCGCTGTTGTGACATAGGCAGGGTGGTCAGGGAGCTGGACCCCTGATCTGCCTTTTGAAAAGTCTGTCTCAAAAGAAAGGGAAGAAATCCCTGAGGGTCTGCTGTGATCTCCTGTGTATGCGGTCACCCCTTACAAGGAACAGGCTAGTAGGTCTTCAGGCAAGAATCGGAGAGCCCAGAATTTGATCAAGCGATTGTACAAAAACCTTGTAATTTCCCCCCAGTCTGTTGTATGGAAAACGCAGCAGATGGGGTGCTTCTCCTGGATCTGCCATAACACCAGCCGCGGAGTCTTGTCTTCACCCACGTCGCGCGGGGTCCCAGCTCATGACGAGGACAGTGGGCGGTGGGCACTAGCCGCAGGCTCTGTCCAGAGACGGCGTGCTGGGCGCCCGCTGTCCCCCGGTGTCTGGTAGTGTCCGCTTCACTACACACAGTGTCGGCGCCGTCAAGAAAGCAGGCCAGCCAGGGTGGGTGCGTCTGTGCTTGTCTGCGGGCCCGCTCTGTGGGAGGGGCGGCACCCAACCCATCCCGGGGGGGGGGGGGCGGCGGCTTCTGGAGCCGAAGTCACAGCCGGCGGCGGCGGACGCGGAGGCCGGGCGCCCGGGGTGGATTCCTGTTACCGCAGCCAGAGTGGGGTGACGTGGCACAGCAGAGCAGGGCGGGCAGTGCCCACGGTGTGCCGGCGCGTTCCAGAGCTACAACAACCGACCAGAGCCGCCTGTGGGCCCCGACAATGCAGCAGCCAGCGCAGAGCTGGGGGAGCCCCTCTGTGCCCTCCGCCCTCTGCCGTGGCGGGGGCAGGGTGCCCGCCACGTCTCCTGCAGCTGGCCGAGCTGACTGCTAAGAATAGAGCACGAGGAAAGGTGAGCGGGCACTGGAGGGGCGTTGCTGCGCCAGGGCCAGGGTCATTTGGCCAGGCGGCCGCAGTGATGCGACACTGGTGAGCCATGGGAGGGGACGCGCTGGTGGCGGGTCTGCTGGCGAAGCTGAGCCCTGCGGCACACAGGCTGGAGTTTTGTGCCTGGGGAGGGCCCAGCTGCCCTCGGCCCTCTGCCCTCTGGGGTGACTGTTGGGCGGGGTCCTGGGCCTGGCGGGCGGCCCCGTGGGCGGGCCCGGAGCCCCCAGCCCGGCTGCGGCCCGGGGGTGCTCACAGTGGCCCCTGCCATGGTTCTCCCCGCTTCGGAGCCGCCTTGCCCCGGAAGGGTGCCCTCCTTTGTCCAGCGTGAATGCAAGCTCAGTTGAGAAAAACGCATCTCATTTCACGGCGGCACGTGCAAGGCCAGGCTGGCTGCCCACCTCGTCCTTTGGCGTGTGCAGGGCCAGGCAGCGTGTGGACGCGCCAGATGGGCCCGGCCGCCGCCTTGCCCAGTGACCGGCTGCGCCAGGCCCCTCTGTGGTGTTGTCTCAGGGCCAGCACGAAGGCGGCACTGGTTCTGCCCCCGCATCCTGGGCTGACCCACCCTCGGGATGGCAGGCCTGGCTCCTGGGGAGGCCCCAGGGAGCTTGAGCTGCCAGCATCGGGGGCCAAACAGGGCCTTGTGGTCTGGAGCAGGCTGGCAGGAGGCCAGGAGGCCGGGGCGCCCCCAGGGACAGCACGGGTCTCGGGGACAGCAAAGACGACGCTTCTGACCTGGGCCAAGCAGCTTAGCTCCGCCTCCAGGCTCTCAGCCTGCGGGCCCGGCGCTGTGGCCGACGCCCTCGTGGCCCAGGCCTGGGAAGGAAAAGCGGCCCTGTGAGGAGGAGACCGTTGTCCGCTCTCTGGGGCAGGCTGCGGTCCGGGCCTGGGGGCAGCCCTGGGGCCTCAGTGCTGGGCAGGGCCCCCTGTGAACTGGGCCTGCAGGCCAGAGGCTGGAGCGGCCGCCTCTTGCTCACATGCCAGGTTGACCCACGTGTGTTTCTCTCTTAGGTTCACTTTCCAGACACCGAAAGAGCAGAGTGGCTGAACAAGGTGAGAGCCGGCGATTCCGGGCGCGGGGCGCCACGTCTGGGACCCGGGGCGTCGCGCCGGGGGGGCTGCTTGGTGGTGCCCGCCGGGCCCCTGCCAGCACCTGCCGGGACGTGGGCCGGCCTCTTCTCGCCGGCCGCCGGCCACTGGGAGGATGCCGGCTGCTGACAGGCGCTGCTGGCCTCTGGCAGGGCCGCACGGGCGGGGCGCTCCGAGCGCCTCTGTTCTCCGCTTGGCTGAGTCTTAGGTCCGAGCGTGCGCAGGCTGGCTCCTGCCCTCCGAGGCCAGGAGAAGCCTCAGTCGCGGGTTTCCCGGTCACCTGTGCCGGTGGGTTGAAGAGAATGTGTGACCAGAGAATCCCTGCGGCGCCAGCTGGTGCTTTGTTACGCGTTTTTGGGTTGCTTTCGCGTGACCAGTAGGACCCCCTTGCGTTTTAGAAGTCCTGGCAGGCTCTGGGCATGATTTCTGTGGCGGTGCCAGTGTGTTGTGACGGCAGCGTTCTGTTGACACAGTTCTCTCTCCTCTTCAGACCGTGAAGCACATGTGGCCTTTTATTTGCCAGTTTATAGAGAAGTTGTTTCGAGAAACCATAGAGCCCGCCGTGCGGGGCGCAAACGCCCACCTCAGCACCTTCAGCTTCAGCAAGGTGGATGTGGGGCAGCAGGTAGGTTTCATCGGTCTCCTCACTGGCTGCGGGGTGGGGGGGCTTCCGGCCGCCACCCTTCATCGGGCTTCTGCAGGTCTCCCCGGAGCTCCGTGGGGGGGCGCCCCGGCGCTCCCGCTGTGCCCGCGGGCGCTGCTCCCACTCTGTCCTGCTGCTGGGCCTCCTGCTCCATCGAGGCCCGAGGGGCTGCTCAGACCTCTCTGGCAGCGCTGGCCTCACCGTCTGCCCTTGCCCCTGACCTGGTGCATCCAGGCCGGGCCAGCAGACCAGCCTCTCGGCCACGCGAGAGCTCACTCCTTCGGCCGCGGAGGGCCGGGGCGAGCTCGGAGCCGCAGAGAGCGCCCCGGCCAGGGGCGTCTCCAGCTGGAGGAGGCGCCGTGGGCGTGAGGACGGGTGTGTGCTTGACGGGGCCCTTGGCCGGCGTGCCTGCTGCACTCTCCCGCTTCTGCTCAGGCGCCGCTCCTTGCCCCAACGTCCTGTATTGGGTGCAGAAATTATACCAGAAACTGGAATGTTTGATTCACTCAAAAGTCACATTTTTGTGGAAATCCTAGGAAATGAAAAATTACAAGAAAAAAAAGTGCTTCAGACGTATCAGAAAGGGTGGAGACACGGGACGGGGCTGAGCGGGGGGGAGGAGCCCTTGCAGGCCTGGGGCTGGCCATAGCAGGACCGCCCCACGCGGACGGTGCCTCCCGCCAGGCCGGGAGCTTCGACCCGCCGGAGCTGGCGCTTGCCCCGTGGCCTCTGCGCCGCCCTCCGGCTTCTGAAACTTCGGCGCTTCTCGTTTCAGCCCCTCAGGATCAACGGCGTTAAGGTGTACACGGAAAACGTGGATAAAAGGCAGATTATTCTGGACCTTCAGATTAGGTAAGTTTTTATTTGCTTTACATGTGTTTCCGGAGGTTAGAGCGTGCCGCCGTTGCCTGTCTCCGCACTGTGCTTGCCTGCAGCTCGGTGGCATCTGACTAAATTCTGTCAGAGACATAAGTGTTATTTAGCTCTGGGTCTTAGCTACTAGTATTTCCTAGACAGTTGCCACCCATAAGCGTGTCACCGCAAATCAGCGACAGCAGTACAGGACACCGACAGGCTCCCTCAGCACAGCCCAGCACTGCTTGAACTCGGCGGCTCTTCGGCCAGCAGCCCACGTGCACACTCAGTGCGGTTTTCATTCCTGGAAAACGGGATGGAAAGTCAGTAGCACACCACGTCGGCCGAGCACAGCCACCACGCGCCGCGCAGGAAGCGCGCCTCCCCCAGCAAGCCCTCCAGTGAAAGCAGTCAAGCCGCTGGGCGGGGGGAGGCGCCTCCGCAGACGTAAAGGCGGGGGTGGGGGGGCGGGAGGGGGAGACACGGCAGCGCCAGGCTCGGGGGGAGGCCGGCGTCTTCCCTCAGCTCAGAGACAGGGAAGGCGTCTGCTCCCGGCAGCGGTCCGCCCGGCCCTAGCCGCCCTGGCCGGGCAGTCCAGCAAGCAGGAGACGTGAAGCCCCGGGGTTGACGGGGAGGACAAAGCTCTCTGTTCACAGAAGGCACAGTCTGAAATGCAGAAGACTCTGAAGACCCACAGGTCACCTTTCAGAGCTGACCAACAGCTCAGCACGGCGGCACGACGCAGGATCGCCCAGCGCGCACGTCAGTTGCCTCCCTCTGCTAAGAGTGGGTAGCTGGAAAAGGAGGTCCAGCACACCAGCTCCTTCACGCAGACCCGGACGGCCGCCCCCGGGGCGTGGCCTGGCCAGGTGAAGGGTCGCAGAGCCAGAGGACAAGAGGTGGCTCTGAAGCGAGCCCCGCCGGCCCCGTGGCCCTGCACGGGGAGGTTTGGCCATTAGGGTGTCACGTCCAGGAGCGCCGACTGGCCACATGACCGGTGAGGTCAGTGGGAGAACGCCCAGCCCCAGTCACACAGAATGACCCGATGCAGAAGTGGACAAGAGGCTTGGACAGGCACTTCTCCAGAGCAGACACACGAGTGACAGTAAGCGACTGAAGTGACCGCCGGCTGGACACGCGCTCGGGCGCACATCCAACGTGCGGGCTCTGGCCTCGCGCCTCGGGTGCTGCCCCCGTAGGCCTGGACACGGCGGTGTCAGAGCATAAGCAGGAGTCGGAACCGGCCACTGTGGGTGGGTGCAGGGTGGGACAGCTGCTCCCAGAGATGGCTTGGCCCTTCCTCAAGCCTTTAAACTTCCAGGTGCCCCAGCGCGGGCCCCACCTCTGGGTGTGACCCAGAATTGAAAGCAGGGGCTGGAAGCGACATTCGTGGAAGCGGCTCACAGCGGCGTCACTCGCAGCCAGAGGCAGAAGCTGCCCAGGCGCCCACTGACGGGGCCGCAGAGTGGCCCCGTGCGGCGTCTCTCAGCCTTCAGAGGGGGTCCAGCATGCCCTTGGGGACACTGTCCGAGGGATGCGGGCCAGTCGCAGACAGCTCTGACGACCCCCGTACACGCGGTGCTGGCTGGGCTCAGGAGTGGGCGCAGCCCGGGCGGGGGCGGGCGGCAGGTCCGATCAGCTCTGCGAGGCGACCGGGCAGGGCCTGTGCGGTGACCACGGCTTCTAAAAATAAATGAGTGACGCGTCTTCCCGGTGTGTGTGTTTTGGTTCTTACGTTTGTTCTTCAGGTGCCTTTTTAATCCTTGACCGGGGTGATTATCTTCATGCGTTGTCTTTGACTTTCTGCAGTCTCCAGACAGGGTAGAGGTAGGGCTGGGTCCGGTCACCTTCATTTCATGACACTCGACCGTGGAAAACTGCAGCCGCAACAACGTGGGCACCGTCCCCGAGCAGCCAGAGAGGACCTCGCACCTGGCACCAGCAGGGCGGCTCCGAGCCGCCGGAGGCTCGTGAGAGAGGTGCGGCTCTGGAGACGGCAGCCCGCGACTCTGCTTTTGTGTCCAGACCGGAAGCTTAACTAGGCAGTGAGCAGCCGAAAGGGAGAAGGAGTCATGGGAAGGTAACGACAGAACAAACTGGTCAAGCCTTAGGGTGAAGAAAAGTTTCAAGAAGGAAGATTTCAGAAGGAAAGTTGCAAGAAGGTTTTATAAGAAGTTACTGGTGACTTCACAATCAAGTGACATCGAGAGTGGCATCGTGGGGGCGGGCTGAGAGCCCCGACCGGCGCCGCGGCGCTGGGGCCTGGAAGGGTTTCGTCCCGGCTGCCTGCAGCGCTTTGCTCATCCGTGAGGCTCGGTCTAGAGCTTAACAAGCTGCCCCAGAAGTCCTCTGCCAGCACCGAGGTGTCGTCAGGAGGGGTCAGGTCACGCGGCCCGCGGGGAACGGAGCTGGCGTGGCGTGTCCATTGTGGGGGTGGACGCAAGCCTGTGCCCAGCGTCATGCCACGCATGTTGGAAGTGACTGGTCACTGGGTCAGGCTGTTGCCTCTCGAGGCTGGGACAGGCTCACCCTGCCCTGGAGAACACTCACCCTCCCCCCCCCAGCCCTGGACACTGGACACAGAAGTTAGTGGACGCTGAAAGATAAACGTTTTTAGCGTGTAAGACAAACATTGCGAGGTAAGCCAGTGAGAGGCGCTCGCCTCCAGAGCCTGCCAGGAACAGCCGGGCCACTCGCTGTGAGGTGGCCAGAGGCCCCGTCCGGACCAGCGGCCTCCGCGTAGGACGTGGCGTCTGCCCCGGGCAGGCCGCAGCGCCCGTCACCCAGATGCACGCCCCGCGGGTTTCTGTGATTGAGAGTAACGCCGACCCTCTTTGCAGTTTTGTAGGAAATTGTGAGATTGATCTGGAAATCAAGCGGTATTTTTGCAGAGCTGGTGTGCAGAGCATACAGGTGAGTTTAAATTTCTTTGGCTGTTGCGATTCTCTGCTGTATTCAGAAAGAGAACGCGGCTTCCCGTGAGCTCGGAGTGTCCGCGCAGCGGGCTCTGCAGCGGACGGCGGGGCGGGGGGAGCCCAGCC